TTCAGTAACAGTTTGACCTGCATCTTCATCATTGAAAACTAACTTATGTCAAACACCTCGCGAATTGCGCCCACGTTACCGACGATCTCAGGTATGTCCTCCACCCGAGGTTCAGGTGCATGCATTTAGTATTCGAAATGACGAACAAACGTACCTTCTCCAGTATTAATCGTGCTCTTGAAATAGTATGCCATATTTGACATGGCACAGTCATACGAGCACAATGACGACAAGAAATGATTGTTGTAGTGCGTTGAACCGCACATAGATATGACCTAACGTACAGGTTAAGAATGAATCTTATGTGCTCTGTAATGAGTCACGTAATATTAATTTCGATTCGTGTTATTAAGCAATACGTGCACACGTTCGGAGCGTGCCATAGCATGCAATTCGTCGGCTGTTCTTTTCATGCGGATATTTCATTTATTATCATCACCTTAGAATGTCCTGAAGTCCTTCCTACTAATAACGTTCCAAAGCAGCCATACCTTATGCTTCAAGTGAACCTTGACATCCGCCCTTCACCGCACATGCGGTTCGATTTCAGCCAGCCGTCGTAAGGGAGCAATAGCAGAGCTTCCGACACCAGATCGTTCAAATACGTTCCAACGTTTATGCTGCGATGTTAAATAGGAAATCAATCCAAAAGGCGAAGTTTGCCTAAGGATCGAATAGCCATTAGATACACGTTTGTCGCTCGCATCGGTTGGATCAAGTCTGACTGCCAGTGAATTGCTTGTATCCGCCACAAATATCCCCTGTTCATAGACTTAACTGCGCCTCTGATTTAACTCCTTTCACCACCACCCTAATTTTGTTTCCTGGTCAGATTTTCTACACACTCGAGCTATCTGATCCGTGGTTTTGTTGTTCCATGTAGGACATCTTTTTTAGTGCCCAGTTACTGTCTTACATGCGCAGTTGATTCAGTGTTCAGTTTGCACGAACGAACTTCTACACCAGTTCAGTGGAACTCGGGTCAGTTCAAAAAGGGTTTTTCAGCCAAAAGTACAAGAAGAAGGGATCAATGTTACA